AGTTCTTAACCATCGCGCCACTCGGCCGGCCCAGTAAATAGAAAATTCTTAATGAATTTCATTTAACCATATATTAGTCTACTTTATAAGTTCATATTACTGTATTTCCTTAATGCTAAGGCATATTTTAATGTTTTAAAATTGGAATGTTTTATAGTAAATATATACAAATGGGTATTATTCTTTCTTTTTCTCCATCCACCTCAAATGTATTAAAATAAGGGTGTATTGTAATAATAAATGACAGAATCCAGGTCATGTTAAATCTTTCTTTTCACTTTAAGCAATCTTTCTATTTCTGCCCCTTTTGTTTGAATGTCACACTGCTGGGCTTTTAATTTTTTACTGGAGTGCATTACTTATGTAAAGTTTAACTTGCTTGTTGGTGTCGAGGCAATCTCTCAGGCTCTAAATATTTTAAAACTTTTTTTGAGATACGTCCCATGTAGTTGTAAGAAGTAATGCAGAGGACTCCTCTGTACCCGACTCAGTTTTCCCCTGTTGTATAACTGTAGAAGAGTGTTATAACCAGGAAGGGGACATTGATACAATCACTGATTTTGTTCAGAATCCACATTTTTTACATGCACCTGTTTGTGTGTGTATTTCGTTCTATGCAGTGTCATCACGTGTAGATGCATGTGATCACTACTGCAGTCAAGATACAGAAGTCATTACTCAGATTTTTCATGTTGCCCTTTTAGAATCACGCCTGCCTCTCCCCTCCCTTCAAGTCCTTAGCCCCCGATAACCTCTAATGTCGTCTCCATCTCTATTTTGTTATTGCAAGAATGTTATACAAGTGGAATCTTAGAGCATGTCCACTTTGTGGCTTGGCATTTTTCATTCAGCAAAATTCCCTTGAACTCCATCCCAGTTGTTGCATGTGTCAACAGTGTAACCCCTTTTTATTGATTCTAATTAGTTATCAGCCCTAAACTGGGGCGACTTCAGAGGTAGAGGCTATCTTTTAATCACCTTTGTGTCCCCAACAACTAGTATGATTCCTGGTACATAGTGGACTTTAATAAATATATGGTAAGTGAATTTATTGCTATGTGGTTTTATTCTGCTTACTAAATAAAAAACAATATGTCCTACTAAGATGGTTTTGTCCTCAGTGGGCCATGTGTTCCTTAGGTTAAAGATGTGGGAGAAACCATGTTAAATATATTTTTAAAAGTTCTTATACTCAAGATTTGATGGGGGAATTTGTTCCCATTTTATTGTAGAAGAAACAATGATTAAATTTTTCAGATCTTCATAATAATTGTTCTCTTTATAGGTCAGAGAGGGGGCTTTGTTAGTATGTGTTACTTCCTTAAAAAGCACAACTTGAAGTTTGCGAGCTCAGAAGCATCATTTATGTCAAACTTGAAAGGCTCAGGAAGTTTCTTTATCTCCAGAAGCCCTTAGAAATGACTAAGTACAACGGTCTCCTTTGAATTTAGGGAGTGTTGGTGGTCTTCAGTGGTGTGGAGAGCCAAAACGTTTTGAAACTGAAGCGTCTACTGGGCAACAGCTGAACTCCCTGAACCTCTCTTCTCCTTTTGACCTGAATTTTCCACTGCCAGGAGAGAAGGGCCCTGCATGCCTTGTGAAGGTAATAACCTTTCACAGACCTGACACTGGCGTAGATGTGTTACGTGTCTCAGAAATTAAAATGGAAACGTCTTAGCATTTGCATTAGTTTTCTATTGCTGCTGTAACAAATCACCACAAACTTAGTGGCTTAAAACAAAACTTTATCCTCTTGTAGGCTTTGGGTCAGAAGTCTGACATGGATCTTCCTGTGGGTAAAATCAAAGTGTCACAGGGCTGTATTCCTTTCTGAAGATTCTAGGGGAGAATCTGTTTCCTTGCCTTTTCCATTTTCTTGAGGTGCCCACCTTCCTTGGCTTTGGCCCCTTCTCCATCTTCATAGCCAGCAGTAATGCATCTCTCTGACCATTCTTCATAGTCATGTCCCCCTCTGACCATAGGTAGAAAAGATTCTCCAATATTAAGGGCCTATGTGACTAGATTAGGCCCACCCAGATAATCCAGGATAATTTCCGTATCTCAAGATCCATAATTTATGCAAGACACTTGCTTATAAAATAAAATATTCACAGATTTCAGAGATTAGAATGTGGGCATCTTTGGGAGGCCATGTTTCTGCCTACCATAGCATTCTTAAAGTAAAAATATTTCAACCACGGAAGTGGAACAGTTTTTTAATTCTTGTCTACTCCCTTCCTATATTATTTCTGACTTTATAATATCTACTTCATTTCTACCATTCTTCTCTTATGAAAATCCATTTCTCATTTGTATTTAAAATAAAACAGAAGAAAAAATTATATTAGTAGTTCTTTTATCTGCTTACCCTCATTTTTTAATCCTGATGGATGAATAGATGATATCCGTTTCAGAAATGGTCATTGAGAATCTCCATTCTTATTTTTGTGGTTTTAACTTAAGGACACTTCAGTCTTGAGGTGTCCTTCAGTTATGTTACACAGGGACCAGAATTACAATATTTGTCCTGCCATGCTTACATTGGGTCTCACCAAGAGGAGGCTGCAACCATTATTAAAGTCCATCATGACAAACAACTTTGAAAGTTTGTTTTTTTGTTGTTGTGAAAAACCTCATGGCCTTTCTCAGTTTTGTGTTCACCCTCCTATTGTTGAATAGTTTGTGCAGAAGTCCAAAGTTAATAATCGCTGGGGTTTTTCCCCTCTTGTGGTATGGTCGATTTTGAGATAATGCATGTTTCTAGTTTCAGTTGACCCATCATCCTTTGGGAAAAGCCTTTCCTTTGAAGTAGTGTGGTGTATTCAAAGCAGACGTTAGTCTGGGAGTTAGGAGTCCTGTCTTTTAGGTGTTAACTTATTTGCTAACTAGCAGAATGACTTCAGGCAAGTACTTTACCTATTTGGTCTCAATTTATGAAATAAAGGAATTGTTTTAAGGTCTATTTCCTGATCTAAAAAACTTCTAAAATACTATTACTATTTTACTGCAAGACTAATATCTTATTGGTTTTTTGGGTGTTATTTAGTCCTAACAACATGGTTTCGTGTGGTATCTTGTTAGGTCTATGAAGACTGGGATTGTTTCAAAGTAAATGATGTTCTTGAGTTATATGGCATACTGTCTGTGGATCCTGTGCTGAGTATACTGAATAATGATGAAAGGTGAGTCTTTCTGCTCTTTTGAGGTAACAATTTGATATCATTTCTAACTTTCAGAAAAGCTGGAGGATAGTTATAAAGAAGTCTTTTTCCCTTTACCGAGATTTACCAATTGTTAACACTTATGCCCCATTTGCTTTGTCATTTGTGCTCTCTTATATGCTTATACACACATATTTTTATTTATATGTACATTTTTCTGAAACACTCGATAGGAAGTTGCATACCCTAAATACCCTAAATACCTAAGCCCATGTTTTCTAAGAACAAAGACTTTCTCGTATATAATGAGCGTACATAACTTAAAGAAAAATTCATTCTCACAATTCTGGAGGCTACGAAGTCCAGGATTAAGGCACTGGCAAATCCGGTGTCTCGTGAGGGCCCGTTTCCTGGTTTGCAGATGGTCATCCTCTCCTTGTGACCTCACATGGCAGAGAGCAGAAAGCCCTGACACTCTGGAAGCAGAGAAGCCTTATTTTGTAGGGTGTTTCGGTTTGCGTTTGTCTGATGTTTCCTCATGATTAGATTCAGGTCATGCATTTTGAGCAGGAATGTCACCTAAGTGATGTATCCTCCTCAGTGCATTACAGCAGGAGGCACGTGATATTACTTTGTCCCATTACTGGTCATTCCGTTAAGGTGGTGGTGTCTACCAGGTTTCTCTCCTATAAAGTCACTGTTTTTCACTTTGTAAATAACAAGTAATTTGGAGGGAGACACTTTGAAAGTATGTAAATATCTGGTTTCTCATTTAATTTTCACCAACTTATTTTAGTATCCATTGGTGATTCTTGCTTAAATCAATTATTACTATTTATTGGTTGACATTCTACTGTAAGAGAGATTTCCTTCCTCCCCATTTATTTATTCAAGTAATTTGTAGATCAGTGTGGATGTTAATCTGTTATTCATTTTGAGGTTCAAATATCCCCATATTTGGCTAGTGGGAGCCCTTTTAAGCAAGATCTGGGTCCTTTCTGACAAGACCGTTTCATTTTTGAACATACATTTTCTGACACATTAAGCTGTTTCAGCATCATTGTGTACTTTTCATGCTCGGGCTTCAATATCAGCCATTTTTCCAAGGAGTACCAGTTTCTTTTAGTGAGGAATTATATTTAAAAATCAAGATCTGTGTGCTTGTGTGCTCATTGGTACTGGGTATGGCATTGCTTCTGTGCCCTTTTAGTGGACAGAGCTAGGAAATGTATGCACACGTATTCACACACACACGTGTGTGTTTACATACACACATATACATATATCTATATATTTCCAAGTCTGTATATCAAAAAACATGTGTTCACACTGTATTTCTGATTCCAGTTCGGCACCACAGATGTCATTCTAGTCTTCCTCACTTCCATATTTTTAATTCCCTTTTCTAACAAAAGAAACGTGACTCCATTATCCTCAATATATTTGTTTGCTCAGCTCTACAGTACAGAGAAAGTAATCTCAGAATTGGTAACCCGTACACACCACTGTGAAAGACCAGCCTAGTGACTTGAGTACAATACTTGTTTTTGGTTTTTATTTTAGAATAAGGGACTGTGGGGTCCTGTGTTCCAAAGTTACTTGGGTGAGGTTAATGTGGTTCTGTTGTTCATTATCCATATTACAAAGTTAGGTTAATTTGTTCCCATTTTGTTTCACTTCAGAATTTTTCCTCCATCTTTATTGTTTTAAATTTTTTTTTAAGTATAGAAAACATTAACGTTGCCAAAATCAAAATTATACTAAAAGAATGCAGGGATGTCAATCTCCACTACTGTCATCCCTTCTGCTCCCTCTCATTCCTGCTTTGTCTGGAACCAACTTCAGTTTCTGCTCTTACCCTTCCTAGGTTTTTGGTGGGGTTTTTTTTGCAAAATTAAGTAGATACATGTATATTTTATTCGTATAGAATAGGTGGCGTGATATACATACTTCTCTACATTTGTTTCCCACCTAACAACATATCCTGAAGAACCAGCTCTTCCTCATTTTTGTTTGTTATGTTTTGAGGTTGCTGGCCTGGGCTGGAATCCTGGTGTGGCCATTACTAGTTGTGTGACCTTGGCTTCTACAGTGGCTGGTTTCCTCATTGTAAATGAGGGTGGTTGTGAGGTTTTACTGAATTTGTGTGTGCAAAGTGAAGAACATGCCCAGGACGTGGTACACACTATATACAGGTTGTCATTCCCATAGTTAAGGAATGGAGTATGAAGTGATTGCTCTGCAGGCTCAATCTGTAAGGTCTGAAGATCTTAAAACATTTTAGTCATTTGTTTCAGTCATCTCACAAAAATCTATCACCTCATTTATTTAGCAAATCTAAAAAACTATTTACATTGCTTGTCTACTCACTATTCAAGGGAGGTTTCATGTAAGGATAAAATTTAGGAACAACAGTTAGCAAGATAGACATAATGGACTTTCCACACACCGAATAACAGATACCTGATGGCTTTAGAGAAAAAAGACCCGTTTTTGAGACATTCTATGACCTATTTGATGACCCAGCTAATAGCCCAAGAAATAATTTCTGTGTTTTGAAATAATGAGTAGCCAGACTACTCACATATCCCATTTAGTGCAGTGACCACGTACTGAGTGGAAACACTGCTCTAGAAAAGTGGAATAAATCATTGCATCATAACATCCACTTGCCTGAAATCTGTGTGAGGCAACGAATGAGGAGCCATGTGCTGTTCTTTATGGAGCTGTACAGGTGGAACTGTTCTTGGCTTGAATTCTGACTGTAGTTTTACATCTGTACTACTGACTGATGTCTAAAAACGTGAGCTCTGTCCCCATCTGCAGGGACTCCTCCTCCCTCCTGGATCCGATGGAATGCACAGACACTGCCGAGGAACAGCGAGTGCACAGCCCTCCTGCCTCCTTAGTGCCAAGGATTCATGTGGTTTTAGCCCAGAAGCTACAGCACATCAATCCGTTATTGCCGGCTTGCCTTAACAAAGAGGAGAGCAAAACCTGTAAGTGTAAGTGCTGAAGCCTCGTGACCCAGATTGTCCCCAGTGTGTGTCGGAGCTGCCTGTGACGTGTGCTCACAGTGGGACTGAGAATCAGTCGTGATCCTCGCATCAGAGTAATCACTGTCTCTTTGCCCAAGTTATGTTAATTCTTGTCATTAAAATGGGGTGGGAGCGGGGAGTACCCAAGTTGTTTTTGAAGATTGACACCTCTTACTGACCTATATTGACGAGTCTGTACTAGGTGTCTACTGACTCGTGCTTTTTGTTCCACCTGTTCATTTTAACCTAAGACACTTGTGTTAATTCTGAATCTGGTCTCCCTTCCTTCTCCAGTTGTTTCAAGTTTCATGTCCGAATTGTCTCCAGTCAGAGCAGAACTACTTGGGTTCCTCACTCATGCCCTTTTGGGAGATAGTTTGGCTGCTGAATACCTTATATTACATCTCATCTCCACAGTGTAAGTGCTCTGCTCCTGGTGGAATTAAGGGAGTTTGTGCTTTGTTGAAAGTGGAAAGGGCAGCAGGGCTTCTGAGGTAATTTTGTGTTTTAGTTTATTAGGCTTCATCATCAAGTGGTTTTTATTTGTTCAGTGTAACAAGTGTTATACCAAATCACAGGCACATTCCTTTTTTGACCTCCTCTGAGTTTCACATTTAGCATTTTGCTAAAGTCTTTAAATTTAAGAGCCAAAGTCAGATAAAGGATCTGACTGATGAGTAAAATGAGCTGTTTTATCCTGTTTGCATTCTGAATTCTCTGTTTATATATTCCAAGGCTCTTTGTGTAAAAACAAGTCAATGAGGTCTGTCATATGTACATCTAACTTCTGTGTGGATGTGAGTACCCCTCCTTTTCATATCACTACAGTTCTTTGTTTTCTGATTTCAAAAGTAACATACGTGCCTTCAGTAAGTTCCAAGAACATAAAGAAGAAAACAGAAACCTGTAATCTCACAACTGAGGTGATCATCTCAGTGAACACATCTTGGCACATGCTCCTAATCATTTTTTTACATACATGTACATCCCTATGTAGATCTGTTATACTCTAAACACAGATCCATATCTTGCTCTTATCACTTAATATGTATTAAACATTATCCCATCATTATTCTTGATGAACTTAACAACTGCCCAGTATTTCATTATAGACAGTTATGCCATTTCCCTAAATGTCAGGTTTTCCTAGTTTTTCTCTATTCTAAACCACACTGCAGTAAACATCTTCGTTCCAGAAATCTTTGCTTGACTAGGGCTTGAGACAGGACATGATGGTTGTGAGCACAGACTCTGGGACCAAACTGCCTGTGTTCAAATCCTAGCTCTGCCGCTTCCTGGCTGTGTGAACTTGGTTGTGTTACATAAAATTTCTGTGCCTCAGCTTTCTCATCTGTCAAACGAAGATAATGATACCTACCTCCAAGTGGGGAGTGAATGAGAAAGCTGCCGTTTTTATTGCTGTTATTCTGATAAAGTAACCGATTAGCATAATCTGTTTTTAAGGATACTACTAAGCTAATTTTCCTGTGTTTGTTTTTTGATGGAAATCACCTAAGTATTTTATTGTTACCTTTTTTTTCTAGCTATACAAGAAGAGACGTTCTTCCACTAGGAAAATTTACGGTTAACTTGAGTGGTTGCCCGCGGAATAGTACCTTCACGGAACACTTGTATCGAATTATTCAACATCTTGTTCCAGCAGTAAGATCAATATAAATATGTATTATAAATCTAAGCAGATGTAAACAATTCACCTACTTGTCTTTAATTCAACCCCAGTGTCTAACTTTGAGATTTTAATAGATGTCATTGCGGGGAAACAAAGTTTACCAAGTTCCATAATTTAAAATGTTCCTTGCCCCTAAACATTTCACTTTTCTTTCATTGCTTTAGCAGAAATTTCTCTAAATTTAACAACAAACCTGAGTGCAGTAATTCCCTTAAAATTGTACTCAGTTGATGCCAGTTTGCTTGTGCAATTTGGTATCCTTTGTGTGCATCTGAACTCTTGCCTCTTTAATATCTTGTGTAGTTTTTGCAGCAGATTCAGTATAAGCAACCTGCTTGTATAGCACTGGACCCTGCTCATGGCCATCTTTTGTTTTGACAGGTTGTGCTTCTTTAGGGGTGGTTTGCTTGTATCTATAATGTGCCACCTCCCCTCCCGCCCCCCATTTTCTTTGACTTCAGTGAAGCCAAAGTACAAAAATCCTCTTAAGTTTGGAAAGTATATCGTATCTCGTCCTTGACACCCTTCTCACACCCTGGATTTTAATCCATGGAGCATAAAGAAAAATCAGGCTTTTCTCTCCCCATCTTGATGAGGAAATAGACATTTTCTGTTTTGATACTCTGGTAGGTTAAAGAAGCTAAGCTTCTGAGTATTTGATGTATGTATCTCAGTTGTCTGTCATTTGTTTCTGGTTCACTGGTGAAATAAAAATCTTTAAGAATACTGACCAAGACAGTGGAGAAGCAGCTCATAGAATCAGTGAAATTCTTACTTAGGATATAGATACACTTTTGCTTCTAAGAGCTCAAGACACTACTCCTTTAAGAATTGATAAGTTCTTTCTTTCCATATAAAACTGTTTAACCCCAAATATGTTTTCCTAAAACTGGGAAACTTAGTTCCTTGCTCATGAAAAAATTTCTCTTTGCAGTCTTTCCGTCTACAGATGACTATAGAGAACATGAACCATTTGAAATTCATTCCCCACAAAGACTATACAGCCAATCGCCTGGTCAGTGGGCTCCTCCAGCTGCCCAGCAACACTTCTCTTGTAATCGATGAGACTCTGCTGGAACAAGGGCAGCTTGACGCCCCAGGTACGCACGTGGGTGTTGCCCTTCCATTTCTAACCTCCCATGAAAGCCAGACCTGGTGATCATTTCTTAAAAGAATAACTGTGAACAAAGATAGATTCACATTTCAGAAATATTTAAGATAAAGGCTTGCCATATGGATTCCATTAAAGCGTATATTATAAGTTGTATACATCAACTATGTTTTATGAAAATAGTACAATGATAGGACAAGTAGTGAGTAGCTTTTTAAAGACTGAAAAGGGAATAGGTTTTGCCTTTAGTCATATATTACCTCAAAGGAAAAAAAAGTGTTGAAGATCTAGAACACTTCCTACAACCCAGTGTGAAGTTCTTACATTTTTTTTCAAATATCTGAAAAAAATACTTAGTAGATCAGATGGTTTGGACTTACCTCAGTTACAGAACATTATAAAATTACAAGAAAGCAGATTGCTTCATCTGTGCTCAAATGAGAATTAAGATGACACTATGCTGGTGATAAGTTCAGGAGGAAAAGGTAGAATAAAAAACAATGTAAAGAGCGTAGACTGGGTACATTTAAGGCAGAAGTGAGTAGCAAATCAGTAACCTCGTTTCTATGGAGAAATACGATTTTAGCTTCACCGTATTATTTTTGCCCTGTTGAACACACCACATAGAAAGTAATCAGACTTACTGGGAACCTATGTTTTGCCTAGTTGCATAGCTGATGTTAGATATTAGATTTGGGGGCGGGGGGTGGTCTTGGCCCCAGAAATACATTTGTCTAGTTTGACAAATATTGTGTGGGAAGCCTAGAACCCAATGAACACTTAACTTAGTAATTGGATAGTGCCTCATGGATTTTTTTAAAGCAGTAGAAACCTCGTGTCTTATAATCAACGTTAGCAAAACTAATTTGTTTAGGGGATTAAAATCAAATGACTAAAAAATTATTTTCTTGCTTTTCCAGGCGTTCATAATGTGACTGCCCTGAGCAACCTAATAACTTGGCAGAAGGTGGATTATGACTTCAGTTACCACCAGATGGAATTCCCCTGCAATATTAATGTTTTTATTACTTCAGAGGGGAGATCACTCCTACCGGTACAATGAGTCATTTTTAAATGGAGGGAGGTTACTTTGGAAAGATATCTATATTTTTGTTTTGTTTCTTGGTACTGATTATTACTAAGAAACTTGTTTCAAAATTGTGGCTGCTGATTAATAAGAGAATTTTGTTCCTGCCTTGGGATGAAAACCGTATCTATGAAGAACCCCAGGTGTCAGCAAATCACAAGACAAGCAAAGAAAGCTGATGGAAGCAATCACTCTCACATCTAGGCATAGGAAGTAGAAGCTGTCTGTAACTTGCCTGTTTAACTGCCAGACCTTTGTTCTTGCTGCCTCTGCCCATTGTTTTCTGCCAATCTTATGTGAGAAATATTTTAGGGCTCCTTTTAAAGTGGTCCTAATTACCTGGTATTATTTTTATGTTTTGCGGTGAAATGCTGTGGTAAATCCATCAGACTGATGGAGAGAGCTTTAATAATTAGAAATAGGCCCAGTCCTTTAAAAGGTATGCAGTTTCTCTGTATAATAGTGTTCACTTGTGATTTATGAGAAAACTGCCTGTGAATGAGAATGAAAAAGCCCGTTGGTAAGTTTTCTGTGGGAAAGTATAGGTATAGAATACATATTCCATGATTTAGGATGCATCAAAAACATTTTAATTAGCTGCTTTTTAGAGGCTGGCTACCTTTTACATGTTTGCAGATACCATTGCGGAATCACAAGTAACCAAAAGAAGTCTAAGTTTTCTAATTATTGCTGAGGTAGTTATAGTTATGTAAATTCATGTTAAAAAGTGACCTCCCCCCAATAATAATAGTATTTTCTAATTCCACTAGGGACTGGTTGAGATGATGCATCCATCCTCCTAAAGTTTTAGGTTAATTTAGGCACTTGGCAAATACTGTGTACTGTTCCTCTTTTCAGGCAGACTGCCAGATCCACTTACAGCCACAGCTGATTCCACCAAACATGGAAGAGTACATGAACAGCCTTCTCTCGGCGGTGCTGCCTTCCGTGCTGAATAAATTCCGCATTTATCTGACCCTCTTGAGGTTCCTGGATTATAGCATATCTGATGAAATAACCAAGGTATATTTGGGTTAAAATAAAGGATTTCCCTGTGTTTAATTGGAATATTTAATCAATATATATTTATTGTAATTACGGATAAGGTAATTTTGCTATTTGTTTTCTATGTGTTATGCCTTTTTTGTTCCGCTATTCCTCCATTATCATCTTTTGTTTGAAATAGATATTTCTAATGTAAAATTTTAATTTCCGTGTCTTTCCTTTTACTTTTTTTTTTTTTTTGCTGAGCCATCCTGCCACCTGTTGGCAGCTCAGCTCAGGCCTGGAATCAAACTGCTGTTGCTCAGAGCTCGAACTCTTGAGCGAGCTCTTAACCAGCTGAGCCACTCGGCCGGCTCAACACCTTTTTCTTTTTAGCTGAGCCATTCTGCCACCTGTTGGCAGCTCAGCTCAGGCTGGGAATTGAACTGGCGACCCTGTTGCTCAGTTCTTGCACTCTTGAGCAAGCTCTTAACCAATTGAGCCACCCGGCCGGCCCAACAAATTTTTTTCCTGGTAGTTGCCCTGGGGGCTACAACATCTTAACTATGACCCAATCCCTTTGGGATTAATGCCTATGTAATCACAATGGTACACAAAAACTTCCTTATAATTTCATTCCTTCTCCCTTACTTTGTGCTTTATTGTCATTCAGATTACATCTTTATACATTGTATGTCCATTAACACATTTATAATTATTGCTTTATACAGTTGTCTTTAAATCAGAGGGAAAAAGTTACAAAGAAAAAGACATTTATTCTGGTTTTTATGTTTACCTGTGTAGTTCCCTTTACCAGTGATCTTTATGTGGATTTGAGTTACTTTGCAGTGTCCTTTTATTTTAGCCTGAAGAACTCTCTTTAGTACAATATTTCTTTCTTTTTTTTTTTCTTTTTAAGATTTTTATTGGGGAATTGGGGGAAGGGGAATAGACAAGTTGCTATCCTTTTGTTCTTCAGTCTAGTTGTGGAGGACGTTGCTTCACTGGCCCAAATTGGCACCATCATTGCGCCCTTCCCGGGCGAGGCAGATCAGTCGCTGGCTTCTGGATGGCCGCTCACACTGGCTGCTGGCTGCTCATGCTGGCTGCTAGCTACACACAGTAGCCCATGGCAACCCACCTGCCGTCACAGGTGACTCACGGCAGCCCAGCTTCAGGTTGAGCTGTCGTTCAGCATCTTAGCTGTAGAGGACAGTGTCACTGGCGCTCAAATGTGGGATCTGAACCGGGCACTATGGCATCCCAAGCCAGCTCTTAACTAATGCGCCACTCAGCCGGCCCAGTACAATATTTCTTGTAGGGCAGATCTGCTTGTGACAGATTCTTTCTTAAGGTTTTGCTTATCTGGAAATGTCTTAATTTCTCCATTTTTGAAGACTAGTTTTGCTGGATGTAGAATTCTTGGTGTATAGACTTTTTCTCTGGACCCGTTTCAATTATTTAAAAAGCAGTATGTTGTCCAAAGCATTGTATACGTCCACCAGGTATTTCCTCCAACTGCCTTCTGGCCTCTGAGGTTTCTGACGAGAGGATTCTTTGTACACAAAGTCATTTTTCTCTTTTAAGATTCTCTCTTTGGCTTTTGACAGTTTATCTGTGATGTGTCTAGGTGTGGATCTCTTGAGTTTTCCTACTTTGAGTTTGTTGAGCTTCTTAGATGTGCAGATTAATGCACATTTTGGGGACGTTTTCAAGATATTGGGTCAGTTTTGATCATTATTTCTGCCCCTTTTCTCCTCTCTCTGGCACTACCACGTGTGTGTGTTGGCACATTTGATGGTGTCCCACAAGTCTTTGAGGATTTGTTCATATTTCCTCATTCTTTTTGCTTTCTGTTCCATAGACTGGATAATCTCAGTTGACCTAACTGCAAGTTTGCTGAATCTTTCTTCTGTCTGCTCAAATCTGCTATTGATCCTTTCTAGTGAATTTTTAATTTCAGTTAGATGTTTCAACTTCAGCATTTCTGTTTGCATTTTAAATAATTTCTATCTTTATTGATATTTTCTATTTAGCGAGACATCATTCTCATACTTTTAGTTCTTTATACGTGGCTTCCTTTAATTCATTGAACATATTTAATGTGGCTGATTTGAGGTCTTTGTTTAGTAAGTACAATGTTTGGATTTCTTCAAGGACAGCTTCTGTTGACTTCTTTTCTCTGATGAATGGGGTCATACGTTTTTGTTTCTTTGTTATGTCTCCTAATTTTTGTGTGGAAGACCAGACATTTTAAACAATATAATATGGCAACTCTGCTCTGACAGTTTCACCCTCATCCCTAAGGTTTGTTGTTACTGTCTAATGACTTCTGAATTCTATCAAGTCTGTGTCCTTTGTTGTATGTGGACACTGAAGTCTCCGCTCTGTTAGCTTAGTGGTCAGTGATTGGACAGAAGTTGAATTTTCTTACATGTCTACAAGCAGTGTGTCTCCCAATCTAAACCAAGAGGCTCTGTATCCATGTTGGGACAAGGCTTCAACACAGGTAAAAGTCATGCAGTTTACATCTCAGCCCTAGCCTTCCTTCACTTTCTGCTTCCATAGAGCCTCAAAGTTATTCAGAGGTGAGAGCTTAGGGCCTGCTCAGATCTAAGCATGCACACAGACCTGTGCATGCATATGGCCTTCGAAATTCCTAGGAATTTATATATCAGAGAGTACCCAACAAAATGTATACACATTTTAAGAAAGGGAAAAAACTATTAAAATTCTAATACTCAATATAAACCGATAACACAAGATGAATACAAGTCATGTGCATACATTTTTTTTGCACCCCCAGTATACATATGTACACACACACACACATATATACAGTTTTCAAAGCCTTCTATGGACATTTCATTCCCTTTTAAGGGTTTTGGTTAGCCTGCTGTTTGCCCCAACCTATTATCCAATGCCTGAGGCAGCCGAGATGATCAATAATTGCTTCTGATTGTTTTTGATAAATGCCCTGGGGGAAGAGGCTGTTCACACTGGGCAAGCTCCGAGACAGGAGACATAAGACAACCTTGCAAATGGGCTCTTCTAAGGAACCACCAGACAAATAATCCTCTGGGAATGGTGCTCTGAGAGCTGCAGCCCACTACCCTCTTCAGTGGTTGCCAAGCTGTCCATTTTCAGGCAGGGTGGGAGTGGGAAATAGGGCAAGTTAAAATGCCTCAAAGCTTAATGTTCTGTTGTTCCTAAATAAATGTTCCTCAGATTGCTGCAAGCATCTGGTTGATTTCCAGAGTTTTAAAGAAGCTGATTTTGATCATTTTTGCTAGTGTTCTTATCCCTTTAATGATGGAGAGAATTTTCAGAGGTCGTTACTCTGCCATTTTTGCTGACATTCCTTCTTCCCTGTGTTTAAAGGCATCAAGTTTGCTATGCAAGTTGCCAACTTTATCTGCCTGGTCTTCTCAAATGAATCTGAGTTTTGTTTGGAATACCTTCATTGATAGCATTATTTGTATGTATGAAGTTTGGTTCTCAATACTTTGACCCATATTGTCTCATTTGTCTAAGAGGCAGGGCTAACTTCCTCATTTTCACATCAGTCAAGGGACCATGTTCGTTTCCTTTTCCCTATTAAATGCAAATGTCATTTCTTCCTAAGGAATGGTTTTAAAGTCCATTTACTCTTTTAATAAAGGCAGTTGAAGATGACTTTGTGGAAATGCGCAAGAACGATCCTCAGAGCATCACTGCTGATGACCTCCACCAGTTGCTCATTGTAGCTCGGTGAGTAGTACATGTCCATAATTGCTTTTTCAGTAAGCTGGGGATAAATCTGATTCATTTAGTAATAACTGAGGCAGACTTCTAAAAATAGAAATGAATTTTTTCCTTTTAAAAATACCTTGTGAAGTGGCTCACTGAAGTGAAATTGTGTTTGGCCAGTGACCACTTCAGTGGAACCAGGCATACTTCTTGTTCTTTAAGCTTCTATGAGTGAGTCACCCTCCAAACTGGACTTAAAAGGTTGCTTTCTAGAAGGTTCATTTGGCTCTTGACTTGTTTGTGTCACTACTAGAGGTCTTGTCTCCTAACCCAGTATTCCTTGCTAGGTCTTAAAAATAAAAGAACAAGGTATTATCCTAGGTCTCAACTCAAATTTGTTTCTGTATCTCAAACCAGGTTTCTGTCTCTCAGTGCTGGTCAGACAACGCTGTCAAGAGAACGATGGCTAAGAGCAAAGCAGCTCGAGTCTTTGAGAAGAACCAGGCTCCAACAGCAGAAATGTGTGAATGGAAATGAACTTTAAAGATCTGATACATGTGAAAGAGTAATGGGCAAATTGTAGCCACACTATTGTAAAATTCAAATATCATTTATACCACATTGTTTTGTAGATAATTTGTATCAAAAACCAATGACTTTTCCTGAAATCAAGCCTGGTAACATCTGAAGTTTATATAATATTCAGTAAGGGCTTTTACCTTACTGATTTTATGGAGCTTTTGAAGTTTGTTTTATAATTATATAAATTAGTAACAATGTACAAAAATGTATTTGATATTAAAAGTTTAATATTGATAATGTTGATTATACCATTTCCTTAGCTTCAGCTAAGTTATAGGCCAGACTGTTGAAATGCTAACATCAACTTCATTTGAAGAAAATTGTTGCAATTCCAAAGTCAGGAATTGTTCACTTAAGATTTTTATGTCTTTACAATTAACAGTGGGTCTAAATGTGTTTAGTGGTCCAAGTTTGGGGAATGGGGCATACTTGCTATTAAGTCAGTACATGACCATGTGAAATTTTCTGTAGTATCATTTCCCAAACATTTGACCACAGCAGCTTGTTTCCATTTAACAGTTGTTAACCTGCAAAACTACTCTTGAAGGTGGCAGTGGTTCCCAGACTTTTGGAGTTTATAGACCAGTAATATTTCCAAAAATTTTTGGGATGCACATGGTTGCCAATTTATTTTGCCAAGTTATCTGAAAGAAATCACTGTATTATCACCACTGTTTTTTTCATAAGAGGGCAATCTCAGAACAAGAGATAGTCCCTTAAATGGAATAAATGTAGCTTTTTGAAAAAAACACTCCATTGTCCTTATTTTTCTCATTTCACCCCAGTACATTTGGGAACCACTGTTTTATGGGACTCAAGGAAATTCTGTCCTATGAGTTGTTTTGCTCAAATATGAAGAAAGCAAAATAATTAACCTTTAAAAAATGGTTTTTCTTTTCCTAGTAAATGTCATTTAGTTGCTTTGATGATTGTATTAGATTTTGAACTTTTTATAGATAAGTTTATCAATTAGTTCCAGATGTATTAGATCAACTAACATTATCTGCTAGTCCAGGAACGCCCTGATAAAACTATAGATAGGTTTTTCCCAGACCACAGTTTGTTTTTCTTTTAGCTGAGCCATCCTGCCACCTGTTGGCAGCTCAGCTCGGGCCGGGAATCGAACTGCTGTTGCTCAGAGCTCAAACTCTTGAGCGAGCTCTTAACCAACTGAGCCACTCGACCGGCCCTCCAGACCACAGTTTTAACATACAAGTTTTTAAAAGAACAAACATATCATCATCCACAGCTAGAAAGCAAATCAATGCAGTATAGTGTAATTGTGGCATCAAAAATCTTTGGAAAGGTTAGATACATTACTTAAGGTTGTATATAAAGATTAATTTCTTTTAGTCAGTAACTCACCTAATTGGAAATATCAGAGATCAGTTAAATGATCCACACACCCCTAAACTGACATTGCTAACCAAGGAAACAGGGTCAGCCTTGAAAGTCAAGGTATTATGCCTCGTGAACTGAAGTCTGAAAATTGCTAGTTGTTTAACTTTTCATAAATTCAAAAGCTATTTTTATAAACGAGTGTAAATAATGTTTATATTTAAAATTCTAACTGGTTTTCATTTTTATAACTGGTAGACTAGACATTCCTTAAACTTTTAGAAATGAAAGCTCAGCTGGATTTGTGAGAATAAAATTCAGGAGAGTAGATTAGTTACTGTGTGTTTATTGTGCCAACTTGAATTGTAATTTACCAAAGAGAAGAACATGCTTGGTCTTGCAGAAAAGTTCCCTTGAAAGGAAAACCCTCTTTCAAAGAAATAAAACTCACCACATGTGATTTGTTTTGAAGAGATCCTGTGTCCTCTTGATGGAAAACCATTACCAGAAGTAAATTAAGTATGGAAGGTGTGCGGCATGGTGTCCTCATACTCAAGTTCCACACAGGCAGGAAGAGCTATAACTCTGCTTCAGAAAACCTTCGCTCCCTTGCTACACACATGAACATTAAGGTTTGTCAATATTAATCCTATTTGAATCACCAAGAAACTGAACAGACATTACTCTAATTGGAACTAAACATTGCTTTCTTTAGTTTTCAAAAATCTGAAACTCATTTCTGTGGAGTTTAAAACACATTTTATCACATGACTTTGGCTTAAATTTTCTCTTAAGTTGTGGCATAGTTAATATTTTCAAGGGCCGGCCAAGTGGCGTGTTGGTTAAGAGCTAGCTTGGGACGCCAGAGGCCCCCGGTTCAGATCCCACATATGAGGGCCAGTGACACTGCCCTCCACAGCTAAGATGCTGAACAACAGCTCAACCTGGAGCTGGGCTGCTGTGAGTCA